ATGGAATTCTCCAGCTATGGAATTCTCGAGTTTTGGAATTTTCGAGTTTTGGAATTCTCGAGTTATGGAATTCTCGAGTTATGGAATTCTCTATTTATGGAATTCTCGAGTTATGTAATTCTTGATATCCTTAAAAGCCTTTAATTCTTGAAATTCTCGAAATTCTTGAAATCCTTGAAATCCTTGAAATCCTTGAAATTCTTGAAAATCTTGAAATCCTTAAAATTCTTGAAAATCTTGAAATCCTTGAAATCCTTGAAACTCTTGAAATTCTTGAAATTTCTTGAAATCCTTGAATTCCTTGAAACCTGAGTTCCTACACCAATAAATTAAAGAGTTCTAATACAGGAAACCTTGAGACCCCAAAAGACCACAAATTGACTATTTCGAAAATTCCTAAATCTCAGAGTTAGAATATTCACATGAAGTTAAATGTTTTTGTCCAGTCACCCGGAGTGATGCCGTTCTACGGCGATTCTGGCGCCGGCTTCCGGCCAGCAGCCGGTTTCGGGAACACTGTTTGGCACCAGGGAGTCACTCCCGTGGGAGCAGTTGCGGTTGAAACGTCAGCAGCACCATGGCCACCTCAGCAGTTCATTCAACAAATTCCTGCTCCAAATCAGCTCGAAGAGCTGAGGTATCATACTCAGTACACCGCCGCCGCTCCGTACCATCCACAGCCAGGTAATTGAAGAATTAATTAATTCGTTCATTCATTCTCAGAAATTTATGGATGACTCGTTCTCCAAGCTTTACTGCTCTTTAAATGAAATAACCTGAATCATCGATGCGATTCTGGAGTGTGACTCATTGTTATTAAATAGCGAATTACGTATTAACGTGTTTCATACCATCTGGGTCACTTGCTATATTTATCAAGAGCAATTTGCTGGAATTTATTTTTTAATTATGGATGTACACTCTACTATTTAATACAATATAATATTGTATAATTTATTATATTACTATAATATTAAAATTATAAAGATATTCCTTAATAGAACATTTAATTTCATCAATGCATTAATAACCAAGCGAAGGAAAATTTCGCGGTTAAAAATTATACAATAACCTCGAGTATATTATGGCATACATCAATCGCAATTAAGCTCGAAACGTTTACCATAAACTTGTGTAGTAATAAATTAAAAATCGTGATTGGGTCAATTTCGGTTTCGAAATTCAGGTGTAACGACCGCAGAATGCAAAGCGCGCAACTAGCGAGTCTTTGTGTTGCGGATTTGTCGGTGCGTTTCCATGGAATCAGCTCGCGAATTTTCTGATTACAGTCGCATATCAGCAGCAGACTTTCATTACTACGGATCAGTCGGCATTTCAACGAGCCGGAGCGACAGGACAATACACAATCACGGGGCAGCCCTCGCCCTTGCCACCAGTCGCCCCGCAAACTGTACCATCGACAGCTCAGAGGCCACTAAACGGTCAATTCATGGATCCCGCTGCTACTGCGACCCAATCAGTCGGTTATGAAAGGCAGGATTACGTCAATGGTTACCAACAACAGGTACAATTACAAATGAATCGTTTTTAATTAAAAGTGTCTTCGAATTTCATCCGAAACTCAACAGCGAATGTGTGCTTCAGGGTGGTTTCAACAAAATATTTCATCATCATATGTCTTTTCATAATATTTCGTATCATAATATGTCTTTCTATGCTTTACAATTATGGAGCCTACAATACTGGACTTTTCACGATTTTTTGTAATAAAAGAAAAATGTGAAACGTACTCGGGTACCACCCTGATATGCACCTCTTGAACATTTTGATATATAAATAGCTGTAAAAGCTTCATTTATGTCATCCGCACGATACAGTGGGCGGTAGTTATGTATTTATAGAACGACAAGATTTAGGGAGATAGAACTCGACGGCCTAGATAAATTAATTATAGTCGAGGGCTACCGATTTTGATCGAACAAGGACACGTTTGAACTACCAACGAGGAGAAATCGTCGCTTGACTTATTAGTCCTAATCGCAGTCTGAATTGCATGTATTTTTCATTTGAAAATTGAAAAACATTTACTGTCTCGCAAATTACCTCGCGAATTTGCTCGTGAAGTACCTCCTGCAAGTTTCGATCTCTCCTCGCGAAAAGAACTTATAAAGAAACACCTTTCGTACAAAGTCCGGACGATAGCGTGTAACCTCGACCAATTTTAAATTACAGATGGAATGATGTCTTTTGCAGGACGTGACGATGGCACCGCCGCCTTCAACCACGCCGACGAGTCGCAGTAGCTCGGTGCACATGGACAACCAGCAGCAGCAACAAGCATCTCAAGCGTCGTCGCAGCCCCAGCAACAACAGACCGACACTCAGGTGAAAGGTTTCGCGACGATCGCAGCAAGCAATGTGTCGGGAAACGAGATGCCTGGGTATCCACTTCAACCGGGCCCACAGAGTTTACACAACTCTAACGGATATCCAGGCTACGTGGAAATGGGTCAACAACAAGTACAAAACCAATGGCAGCCTCAGGTGGCTCAGCAGTCGCATCAGCAGCAGCAACATATGCAGCGACAGCATTCGGTGTCCGATGCTGGCCAACGACACATATGGTCCGATACTAGTACCGGCACGAAGATGAACAACGTGAACAACAGCATGAACTGGTCGGATGGAACGATGCAGCAACAGCAGCAGCACCAACAGAAACCTCCTCAGCAGCAGCAGCAGTCGAACATGCAGAGCAACAGTATGAAGCAGCAAGAGCAGCAACAGAGTATGCAAATGCAGACGCAGCAAGAAATACCCAGGCCGGCCAGCCATATGAGCTGGGAGAACGGCAGCGTGAAGGAAACTCCGCATACTCCACAGTCGTGGACAGACAATACAGATAATCAACAGCAACAAACTCAGGGAAACTGGTCCCGGCAAAGTCCGAAGCTGAGGGACACGCAGAATCCAAGATTGACACCCTCTAGTCAACAACAACCTCAGCACCAAGGGTGGCTACAGCATTCTCCGAAGTTGTCGGACCATCAACAGAATCCGTCTCACCAGAACGCCAGAATGACGCCTTCCGGTCAACAGCATAGTTGGCAACAGAGTAGTCCAGAGATGCAGCAGAACTCGAACCAGTCGAATCCGAGGTTAACGCCGCAGCAGACGCAACAAACACGTTTGAACTACCAACGAGGAGAAATCGTCGCTTGACTTATTAGTCCTAATCGCAGTCTGAATTGCATGTATTTTTCATTTGAAAATTGAAAAACATTTACTGTCTCGCAAATTACCTCGCGAATTTGCTCGTGAAGTACCTCCTGCAAGTTTCGATCTCTCCTCGCGAAAAGAACTTATAAAGAAACACCTTTCGTACAAAGTCCGGACGATAGCGTGTAACCTCGACCAATTTTAAATTACAGATGGAATGATGTCTTTTGCAGGACGTGACGATGGCACCGCCGCCTTCAACCACGCCGACGAGTCGCAGTAGCTCGGTGCACATGGACAACCAGCAGCAGCAACAAGCATCTCAAGCGTCGTCGCAGCCCCAGCAACAACAGACCGACACTCAGGTGAAAGGTTTCGCGACGATCGCAGCAAGCAATGTGTCGGGAAACGAGATGCCTGGGTATCCACTTCAACCGGGCCCACAGAGTTTACACAACTCTAACGGATATCCAGGCTACGTGGAAATGGGTCAACAACAAGTACAAAACCAATGGCAGCCTCAGGTGGCTCAGCAGTCGCATCAGCAGCAGCAACATATGCAGCGACAGCATTCGGTGTCCGATGCTGGCCAACGACACATATGGTCCGATACTAGTACCGGCACGAAGATGAACAACGTGAACAACAGCATGAACTGGTCGGATGGAACGATGCAGCAACAGCAGCAGCACCAACAGAAACCTCCTCAGCAGCAGCAGCAGTCGAACATGCAGAGCAACAGTATGAAGCAGCAAGAGCAGCAACAGAGTATGCAAATGCAGACGCAGCAAGAAATACCCAGGCCGGCCAGCCATATGAGCTGGGAGAACGGCAGCGTGAAGGAAACTCCGCATACTCCACAGTCGTGGACAGACAATACAGATAATCAACAGCAACAAACTCAGGGAAACTGGTCCCGGCAAAGTCCGAAGCTGAGGGACACGCAGAATCCAAGATTGACACCCTCTAGTCAACAACAACCTCAGCACCAAGGGTGGCTACAGCATTCTCCGAAGTTGTCGGACCATCAACAGAATCCGTCTCACCAGAACGCCAGAATGACGCCTTCCGGTCAACAGCATAGTTGGCAACAGAGTAGTCCAGAGATGCAGCAGAACTCGAACCAGTCGAATCCGAGGTTAACGCAGCAGCAGCAGCAACAGCAGCAGCAGCAGCAACAGCAGCAGCAGCAGTGGTCGCAACAGACGAAGATCGAGAAGAATCCCAGACTGACGCCGTCTAATCAAATGTCCTGGCCAGACACTCCAACTAGTCAATCGAATTGGTCGCCGAACAGTATGAAAAGCGACGGCAGTCAACAACCTCAACAACAATGGCCGGATTCGCAGCCCAGCCCACGGAGAACGCCCGGTCATCAGCCGGCGGCGTGGCAACCTCAGCCGCAAGAGAACAAAATGGAGAACCAGATGTCCTGGTCACCCAGCTCGGTCGCCGAGAATCAACCCACATGGGGACAACAGGCGACCAAACAAGACATGCAGAATTCCGGGGAAAGAGTGTTGTGGCAACAACAAACAACAGACACCGGGAAACCCAACGGGTTCCCGGATAATCAGGATGCTCAGGAGAGTAACGTATTTGCTCAATCCAATCGTGTTAACTTGAACAGTCGATTAAAGTCGATGATACTGAACAAACAGCAGCAGCAACAGCAACAACAGCAACAGTTGCAGCATCAACAACTTCAACAGCAACAATCGCAGCAACAGTCCGCGCATCAGATGAGTCATCAAGAACAGCAACATCACAATATGCATCATCAGATGCAGTCCCAGCACGTGAACAGCAACAGCGGGAACCGGGATTATCACAACGAGGACCGGATGCGGGACTCGCACGATAACTCGGACAAGATGACGGAGAAACAACAGACGGAACAGTATTTGAGCCAGTCGAACATCATCTCGATGGCGCAGTCGAACGAATCTTTGACCGGTAATTTTTTATTGCATAGCCACCACCCTCGGGTCGATAGTTTGCCCGACGGTGGTGGCTTATGGGAATGGTCAGGAGGAGGTAACAACGGCGGTGTTTTGTCCGAGAACGGTATGACGGTCATCGAGAGTCTGATGAAATTCGGCTCGGAGGAGAAAACCGTACTGGAGAAACCCTGCGAGAAAGAACAGCAAGAACAGCAGCCACAATTGTGGAAGGAGGACGCGAAGAGCAACGACAATCAGACCATCGACGACAAGTCGTTTCAGAGGAGTCTATGCCTGGATCAGAGCAACAACGACGAGGTTTTCGAACAACGTCGAAGCAACGAAGACGAGGCGACACAGGTGTCGCTGATCAACGAGGAGGACAGACCGTATGTGGAGAGTACCGATAAAACGACATCTACGGAAACGAATTGCGATTCCTCGCAGATCATCAAGCAGGAGAACATCGGCGAATACGGTTGTTCGAGCTCCGATTGCGTTTCACCGGCGGCCTCCTCGAAGAGCGAGAGCTGCGCGAAGGAGATCAAAAGCGAGCCGGATCAGAGGTCGCAGGAAAGCTCGAATTACAAGTTCCGCGGTGACGGTGGTCCAGCCAAAGTATCGCCAGGAGTCGGTTCTTGGTGCTGTCGCAGAGGCGGCACCGAACAACCGACGCCCGAACATCTGCGAGACGGTTGTTGTCAAGGTCTTCAAACTAGGGACGAAATTTTGGCCGACTCGGCAGACAAGTCCGACGTTAAGAACGAAGGTCCTCAGAGTCCGAGAAGCGCGGCTTCGACCACGACGAAATTGCAAGATCATTTGGACAAGCTGAAGAACAATGTCAGGACCGAAGTGCCGGACTGCAACTGCTTCCCCGCCGACAAATGTGAGTTGCTATTGTGTATTCAGCACGACACTAACATTGAGAGAACACACTAACCACGATTATTTGTTACACGACAAATAAAAACCTGAAAAAAAAACAAAAAACAAATAAATAAAACTGTACTACTACTATTACTATTACTTCTACTACTAGTAATACTACTACTGCTACTACTACTACTAATACGTTATGGCCGACAATACACCGATTATGCGCCTTGATTCAGTGACCCAAAGAGGAATGCACGTGTACCTAACTTACACCCCTTTCCCAGGGGATATACCTACATACGTGGCATAAATGTTTCCGCTTCTGTTGCTTCCTTTCCGTTGAAACGTCCAGTTTCGTAAGTAAAATGAGGTTCAACTACAAGGTCCACCAGAACCCGGCTCGTACTACACTCATCTCGGGGCGGCTGCAAGCCTGCCTGACTTACGGAACGATCTTGAAAGAAGAACCGGCCTTAAGGGAAACGCCATAAGATTTGAGAAGGTCATCTACACCGGAAAGGAGGGAAAAACAACTCAGGGATGTCCCATGGCCAAGTGGGTAAGCATCTTCATCTATTATGTTATTTATTGTACCTCTTCTGTTCCACTTTTGGTGATGGGATTGTAATATCAGTGATTCGCTAGATACTACGACGATCTGGTCTGGAAGAGAAGATCCTGACTATAGTGAAACACCGGCAAGGCCACAAGTGTCCTACAGCCTGGATCGTCGTGGCGATGGTAGCTTGGGAAGGTGTACCGACCCACGAGGCCGATCGGATATATTCCCTCCTGAGCCATAAATTGAATCGATTCGGTTTACCGACGACCAGAAGATGCGGAACGAACGAACCGAGAACGTGTGCCTGCCAAGGCCTCGATCCAGACACTTGCGGTGCAAGCTTTTCCTTTGGATGTTCCTGGTCCATGTATTATAATGGTTGCAAATACGCCAGAAGTAAAACCGTCCGTAAATTTCGACTATCAGTACGATCAGAGGTGAGATACCTTTCGATTCTTGATACATTCATTATCTAAACACTCGTGCATTCTTCTGCAAGAATTAGTATATCTTTAACGATTAAATTATTCGTCGTTGCAGGAACAAGAAGTCGAAGAAAGAATGCACGTCCTAGCTACGCTTTTGTCGCCTCTGTATCTCAGTCTTGCACCGGAAGCGTTCAACAATCAGACACAATTCGAGCGGGAAGCGAGCGAGTGTCGTTTAGGATTCAAACCTGGCCGACCATTTTCCGGTGTCACGGCTTGCATCGATTTCTGCGCGCACTCGCATCGTGATCTACACAACATGAACAACGGATGTACCGTGGTAAGTATGCTGGAGAGTCTGTACATTTTTAATGAGCCGCATTTTAAAGAAACTGAACGAAACGACTGACTCGTTCTTTGTTGCTTCCAGGTGGTTACCTTGACGAAACATCGTAATTTATCTAAACCCGAAGACGAACAACTACATGTACTTCCGCTTTACATCATGGACACAACGGATGAGTATGGATCGAAAGAGGGACAGGATGAGAAGGTTCGAGGTGGCTCCGTAGAAGTGTTAACAAAGTAAGTATTACTTTGATACAGTAATGTCATTTTAATCGAGTTTAATGAAAAGAAATTTAATCGAATGATATTATTTGATCCAGGTATCCGTGCGAAGTGAGAGTTCGGTCGGTACCACTGCAGCCCTGTCGACGTCACGGTAAAAAGCGGAAGGAGGATGAGCCGGACACGGTGAGCAATAAAAAAGACGGTTCGAAGAACACGAGCGAGAAACTGAGCGACCAGAGCCGTGTCCCGGGTCACCAAGAAGCAGCGAAACCGCAAATGAGGGATGCACAGCTGTCCCTGGAAATGGCGTCGATGTTCGAAGGGATGGACGCGCAGTTGCAGAGCTCTCAGGTATCCTCTACCGTTCTTGACAGTCCGGTGTCCATGTATCAAGGTTGGGGTTATCAGAACGAACAGCAGTGGGGTAGAAACGGTTGGCTGGATCAACGAAAGAACAACTGGCTGAATCCATGGGGAGAATACTCGTTCGGTGGTTTGGACAGGGAGGCGAAAGTTGACCCGGACAGCACCAGCCTGGACGATACGAGGCCCAGGAGCGCCGTTTCTCAGGACGAACATCGGCCAGGCTCGCGAAATTTACCAAACTCCACCATGGACTCGCCCAGGAATTGTTATCCCCATTCGCCGAGAGCTCATCCGATCTCGCCGAGGAGTTCACACGCGGGAACACCCGGGGACGTAAGTTACGCGATGTCGCCCAGAGGTTGCCCTCCCGCGCCGCAAGATCAGAAGATAGCCTCGCCGAGGAGCTCGGGGTACCCGGACACGGGCTACGGCCACGTGCCAACTTCCAGGAATTACACGAACGTATACGACAACAGGCAAGGTAGTGCGTCTCCAAAGACAGGCTGTACAAATTTCCCGCCTCATTTGGATCAAAGAAGCGCTCTCGGCCGTACGAACCAACCGCACAACGCGAACGCTTTCCGGCAGAGTTGCGAACAGTCGAAATTCCACTTCTCGAAACCTGCGCAAGATTCTAGTCAGCAAAAGTACCATACGACGCAGAACTACTTAGAGGCTCAAAAGTCGCAGACCGAGCAGTCGTACGCGAACAGAATACAAGCTCACTACCCGTCGCACCCGGTTCAGTCGGTCAGAAACCATCCGTACCAGGTTCAACACGATTCGAACGTGGACGCGTACTCCGGGCTCCCGCCAGTATCCCCGTGCATGGACAACGCTAGTCATAAAGCATTCGGTGCTACGAATACGGATCTACTGCTTCACGGCGCGCCGCACCTTCCCCCGAACCACCAGCAGAACGGCGCTCAGAATTTCGGACCGGATCAGAGAAGATACCGAGCGCAGAAGCCACTGCAGCCCTGTCGACGTCACGGTAAAAAGCGGAAGGAGGATGAGCCGGACACGGTGAGCAATAAAAAAGACGGTTCGAAGAACACGAGCGAGAAACTGAGCGACCAGAGCCGTGTCCCGGGTCACCAAGAAGCAGCGAAACCGCAAATGAGGGATGCACAGCTGTCCCTGGAAATGGCGTCGATGTTCGAAGGGATGGACGCGCAGTTGCAGAGCTCTCAGGTATCCTCTACCGTTCTTGACAGTCCGGTGTCCATGTATCAAGGTTGGGGTTATCAGAACGAACAGCAGTGGGGTAGAAACGGTTGGCTGGATCAACGAAAGAACAACTGGCTGAATCCATGGGGAGAATACTCGTTCGGTGGTTTGGACAGGGAGGCGAAAGTTGACCCGGACAGCACCAGCCTGGACGATACGAGGCCCAGGAGCGCCGTTTCTCAGGACGAACATCGGCCAGGCTCGCGAAATTTACCAAACTCCACCATGGACTCGCCCAGGAATTGTTATCCCCATTCGCCGAGAGCTCATCCGATCTCGCCGAGGAGTTCACACGCGGGAACACCCGGGGACGTAAGTTACGCGATGTCGCCCAGAGGTTGCCCTCCCGCGCCGCAAGATCAGAAGATAGCCTCGCCGAGGAGCTCGGGGTACCCGGACACGGGCTACGGCCACGTGCCAACTTCCAGGAATTACACGAACGTATACGACAACAGGCAAGGTAGTGCGTCTCCAAAGACAGGCTGTACAAATTTCCCGCCTCATTTGGATCAAAGAAGCGCTCTCGGCCGTACGAACCAACCGCACAACGCGAACGCTTTCCGGCAGAGTTGCGAACAGTCGAAATTCCACTTCTCGAAACCTGCGCAAGATTCTAGTCAGCAAAAGTACCATACGACGCAGAACTACTTAGAGGCTCAAAAGTCGCAGACCGAGCAGTCGTACGCGAACAGAATACAAGCTCACTACCCGTCGCACCCGGTTCAGTCGGTCAGAAACCATCCGTACCAGGTTCAACACGATTCGAACGTGGACGCGTACTCCGGGCTCCCGCCAGTATCCCCGTGCATGGACAACGCTAGTCATAAAGCATTCGGTGCTACGAATACGGATCTACTGCTTCACGGCGCGCCGCACCTTCCCCCGAACCACCAGCAGAACGGCGCTCAGAATTTCGGACCGGATCAGAGAAGATACCGAGCGCAGAAGGGGCCTGAACAGAAGGTACCCGCGGCGAACCACGCGTCACCGGCGCCTTCCGATCAGATGGCTGGTTGGAACATGTTGGGCACCTGGTACCCCGATCAGTCGAAAGCTTACAATCAACAGCCGATGTACAACGACCAAATCGCTTCCGAGAGAGGTCATCAGCAACCCGTCGACCATCAGAAGGGTCTGAACTGGAACGACAGAATGCCGCATCCGGATCAGGCGAAGCCACCCTGTTGGGAAGCACCTCCCGATCCTTCTCCATTCCGAGTGCCAAAGGGCAGACCACCCTCGAGGACGGCGTCGAGCCAGAATCCGAACGCAGACAATACATATCAAAATTCTTCCAATAGAACGTTCCTGAAGCCACAAGAGCCGATGCGCAGCGGCGTCTACGCGGACAGTCTGAGCAACGGCGTGCAGACTATCGGAACGATGCATCAGAGTAGTCAACGGAAACCGGATTGGCCAGAAGACAACAAGATGAAAGAAGGATTCGAGCACAGGCAGAACGTGGCGAATCCGAACTCCAACTGTTTCCCGTGGCCAGAAGAGATGAAACAAGTGCAAGACTTCCACGCGGTGCCAGCCCTGGGACACCCCCACGCTTCTTTCCCTCAGTACGGACCTTACCCGACGTACCCCGTCTTCGAGAAACCATACTCCAACTCCTGGGAAGGCTACAACTACCACCAGGCCCCGTATCATCCTCAAACGCCGGACTACCCGCCGCAGTTCTATCAGCAACCGAAGAGGGAAGCCTTCGTTCCGTCGCCGCAGTATCCTTACCAAGGAGTACCTCCGTACCAAGGTCTGAATCCAGGTTGGGCCCGGTGGGAGACACCCAGGTGGGACATCTACGGACCACCACCGTACTTCCCGGTGCTTCCCGAACCACCACCGAAGGCAGAACCGCTCGGGGAAGTGGCGGACTACTCCGACAACGAGGAGTGCTTCAAGGATTCGCAGATGGGCGGAGTAGCGATAGCTCTGGGCCACGGTAGCGTGCTGTTCGAGTGCGCCAAACACGAAATGCACGCCACCACGGCTCTGAAGAAACCCAATCGTCTCAATCCGACCAGGATCAGCCTGGTCTTCTATCAACACCGTAACCTGAACAGACCCAGGCACGGTTGGGACGAGTGGGAAGAGAAGATGAGACTACGCAAGTTGGGCGTCACGAGTACCACGTCCACGTCGGTTGTGACCACTTCGTCGTCCACTTCGCAGTCACTGTCCACGCCATCGACTCCGACCAGCCCTGCCAGCGCCATCGTCAACGAAAAATCCACACCGCTTCCCTACATACCCAGCGTCCCCAGCTCTCAGTTCATGATGAGGTCGCCCACGTACACCACCATGACCTGGACCACGCTCTTTCCCATGCATCCCTGCATGATAACTGGCCCGTATCAGGAAGGAGGGGCCATTGGATGAGTGATCGTCGCGGGCTACGGTTCCGATCGATGACCAAGAACCGTGCCAAGTGTCGATCGAGCAAGCTCGTCGGGCTGAAACACTGGACGGAAGCTCGCATGAACAGCGACGCGTTCGCGAGGAGAATCGCGAGGACGGAGATACGAACGACAGAGATTGTCGAGAGGGATCAAAGACCAAAAAGGATACAAGGAAATAATCATAGTAGTTTTAATTAAAGAAGACAAACCGTGATCACGAGGGGCTTTCTATTCTAACTATCATCATTGTCCTAGACGAGTATAGAGTTTACCGAGAGAAACGAGGATAACACGTTTGCACTGCCATTTTTCTATTTCATGTTTTTTCGGGGAATATAATAAACGTTGCAACAGAAAACGGGAATCAACGGTAACGAGAAAACTACGAGGGATAAAAGCAGAGGTTACAGGTTCGCAAACTGAGAGACACACGGGATTCTATTCTAATCGGGGCTTCCCTTTTTATATCGATCTTTTACACATACGAGATGTTGCGACACGAGAGGAGACTAACGAGGATTTACACGAAGCGGAAGAAGAACGAAGAGGAATACGCGAAACGACGTTCGCGGTCTCGTAACGAAGGAAACGAAGGAAGAGTGTAACGCATCCGATTGTATATTTTTAAACGATTTCGTGTTTGTTGGTAGAGTCGTAATTCGTATTTAGCTAGTCCAAGCCTAGACGACAGGTTTTTATCGCGACGTTACACGCAGTGGCAGACACGTAACGCTGACATGTACCGTTGTACAAAGCTGGATCACACGTTGTATTTAGAGTGACGCAGAGGCACACTTTTTATCCGCGCATTCCTTTTTCTAAACACGTTTGGTCGCATCCATCCACACGGCCAACTATTCTAACGACCAAATTGTCCGTTCGATCAACACCGTAGGTTTTACACCCACGCCCACCTTTATCCATACAACCACCTTTCGAGCCGCGTTTGTTTCGAATCGATTCTGTTTTTGTACAGGTCATCATGCACAATCTCGAGACGAGACGACCGCGTATACAAATTTTGCGGTGGTTCGCCATAGATTCACGTGACACACGCGTACATATATATATTATATACATATATATATATATAGACACAAGAAAAATGATCTCAAGTTTTTTAAGCTAATTAATTAAACGATAATTATGGACGTTTGATTCCTTTTTCTTCCTCTCTCTCTCTTTTCACTCTTTCTATTGTCTACTTCTATTTATCACAGTTATTCGCATAATCGAATTTCATTTTTACTTTGTTATAAGACACATGTTCTTATTTTTTTAAATAAAAAATATTTTTGCATCGAGTTGCAAGCTTATAAGGCATACGAATGTTCTCTTTTTTTAAATAAAAAATATTTTGCATCGAGTTGCAAGCCATCAAGCTTATGTTCATAATTTTTATGTTTGATCATGAAAGTTGAAAAGCATCACCTGGAATCATGATAGAATATGCAGATTAAAAACTGATGAAATTAGATACACGAGATATATTGATACACATATTTATTATGTATTAATATACTGCAATATATTATATTAATATAACATATATTATATTATAATATATATTATTATAAATTATATTCTGATATAATATCAGATTATATATTATAATATATAATATATATTCATTATATGTTGTATAACATATATTATAACGAAGTACCAATAATATAATATAAAATATTAATATAATATATAATGTGGTATATTGTATGTTACATAACAATTTTATATATGATGCACGAGGGAGTTTATATTAATATATTATTTTGTGTATCCCCGATTAAATCAATTTTATTTATGCAATCAATGTATTTTCAGATCTATTCAATTTCAGAGTTCTATCATACTGAGTATCATTTTATACATTTTATAATTTATCAAATTATTATTACTATTATCATTTTATAAATTTTTACGAAATCGATTGTGCGAATAATTGACCTCACCTGATTATTTTCTTCAATCGCCTATTGTACATGTCGCGCTTGTTCATCGTATTTATTATATTTTTGTCACGATTGCACGTGTTCGCACCCGTAGATCTATTTTTACGTCACGTTAGAATTTCTCTGTACACCAGCATACATACATTGATATAATTCTCCTTCGGTTCGATCGAGTACAAAAACACGATAAATCGCATCTAATCATTTCCTAAAACGAGAGCGACACTTTCGAAGAGTGGATGGTGCCGTCTTCTTCGTCGACCACGTTCTTCCGACTGTTTATTCCAACCCCTATTCTAGAATTAATAACCGAATCCTTGAAACGATGCGTTTGTTCGTCTCACGAAGACCCGCATCGTTTCACGGATTCTTTCGAGCCAGAAGGTGTTTGTTCGCGAAGAAACAGCCAAGCGAGTCTAAAGAAGGATGGTTTCAAGTCTGAGAACCAAAAACGCGTCTTTCGAACCGATCCCTGTTTGTTTTTCATGAAACAATGTAAATAAACCCACGTTCCCTCGAAACGTCCATTACTTTTGGACTCGATTCGATCGTAGCATAGTATTTCGGTAACAACCCTTTCGGGGCTAAGGTCGCACTATATGGTCGCCCTAGTGCGATGTAGTTAGACCGTTTCTCAAGTACAAACGTATCTTTCAATTTTAGCGTAGTAAATCGATTCAAATATTTATTTCAAGTTTGCACTGGAACGTTCGACAGGCGGCCATATAAGCGGAGGGAGGGAGGTAGTGATGGGTTTGATCCACTCATGATCCTTTGCCTCGGTTATACGATTTTGCCTCGGATATGTACGAGTTAGACGAGGAATATAAATGGTAGAATATTTGGTCGTAAGTGGAGTTATTGATTTGTGAGTGAGTGACTCCATTGATTTGGAGTCATTGAATCGTGAGTGGATCATAAACGGGCAAGCATATTGTGGTCCAGAGCGAATTACGGATGCCAAGGGTGAATTGGTGGATAATAAGATCGGTGATAAATTGTAAACGGGTGGGTTGGGGTCATGAGTGAATCACGAGAGATCATGATAGATGTATAGGACATTAGTAGATTCGTGAATCATCCTCTCAGGAGAGGATCAGTAAGGGAATCAGTGGAGTTAGGCATCATCCGTGGATCCATAGATGACGAGTGAATTCTGAAGGTATCTTGAGTGGATTACTGGGTGGTTGTCCCAAATACTGGGTGGTCCAAAGGTAAATTGGTAGATATAAGATCGGTGATAAATTGTAAACGGACCACGAGTGGGTTGGGATCATGAGTGAATCACAAGAGGATCATGGTAGATGGTGTATAGGACATTAGTAGATTCGTGAATCAGGATTCTCTCAGAAGAGGAGGGGAATCAGTGGAGTTAGGGCATCATTCGTAGATCCACCGATGACGAGTGAATTCTGAAGGTATCCTGAGTGGATTACTGGGTGGTTGTCCCAAATACTGGGTGGTCCCAAGGCAGAATTGGATATAAGATCGGTGATAAATTGTAAACGGACCACGAGTGGGTTAGAATCATGAGTGAATCACATGAGGATCATAGTAGATGGTGTATAGGACATTAGTAGATTCGTGAATCGTGAGCGATAGATGGAATTAGGGCATCATTCATAGATCCACCGATGACGAGTGAATTCTGAAGGTATCTTGAGTGGATTACTGGGTGGTTGTCCCAAATACTGGGTGGTCCCAAGGCAGAATTGGATATAAGATCGGTGATAAATTGTAAACGGACCACGAGTGGGTTAGAATCATGAGTGAATCACATGAGGATCATAGTAGATGGTGTATAGGACATTAGTAGATTCGTGAATCGTGAGCGATAGATGGAATTAGGGCATCATTCATAGATCCACCGATGACGAGTGAATTCTGAAGGTATCCTGAGTGGATTACTGGGTGGTTGTCCCAAATACTGGGTGGTCCCAAGGCAGAATTGGATATAAGATCGGTGATAAATTGTAAACGGACCACGAGTGAGTTAGAATCATAAATGAATCACGAGAGAATCATAACAAATCATGTATAGAACATTAGTAGATTTGTAAATCACAAACAACAACCATCATCCGTGGATCCACAGATGAATCTATGAGCTATCAAAATGGCGGCAAGGTTGAGCTACCAAAATGGCGGCAAGAGGTTCCGAAAGGGTTGACGATCGAACAACAGGGTCCGAAAGTACCAAAAACATAAAAATCCGGTGTTCCATTTTGTTTGGTTGGTTGAATTACTGGCAAACCTTAACGCCGGAAGTGAGAAGCTATAAATGAAAGGGAGGTGAAAAGACGCGTCCAACCCTCGCCCATCGGAGTATTAATAAGAATCATTAATATATTATCATTCATTATTATCATAATGTAGTAGTAATAATAATTATTAGCGGCAAACAGTAATAATTAGTAATATAATCTAATTTAATCTGATTATTTATTGATTAAGTTCTGACGAGATGAACGTTGTTCGAATTTTTATTCCGCCAATCTTTTTCTTTCTCTTGTATCTCTTACGATTTCTCTCTTTACTTTCAGCCGATTCAAAAAGGTCTTTCTTCTTCTTTTCGCACTTTCTTCCGTTGCCTTTTCATGTACATTTTCGAGCACAATATCATCGATAGCAAAAGCTCGGGCCTTTCGAAACGCTAGTCCCTTTTCTTCTCTTTGTTTTCGGCCCCTGAGTTTTTTTTTAGCGAAACGAGGACGAAAAAGAGGAATACAATCACGAATCGATAAATTGATCGGTTCGATTAGAGATTATTTTTGACGAGCGCCGTTCTTCGATCAATTTCCCCGAGAAAATCGATCTCAAACAGTCAATTAAAATTCTCCCCGAGGAGAAATCACCCTGGAAATCATTCGAATTTCTATTTTTGATCCATTTTGAACAGCAAAAGGTAAAATTCGATATAAGTTTCTTTTTTCTACGCGAGGCTCTGCGGCCATTTTGTCGAGAGCGTTTGTTCGTGGCCTTCCATGATGACTTCCGTTTCGATTCAAATTTTCCCGGGTAAAACGAGCAAACGCTTTCTTACAAACAATTTAGTTTCACGATGCTTTCGAACGCTCCAACGATTATTATATTAATTTGATCGAGGAAGAGGTTTCTTTTTTTAAATTTCTACGTTTCTTATTTTTAGCATATTGTTTATATATATTACGTATTTTAACACGTTTAATGAAATTTAATATATTCGAACAAGTGAAAAGAAATTGTAAATAACATTAATATTATATTATCACGTTTTATGCGACAAAGACCAACGATGGCCGGCATCACGAATTCGATATCATTGAATAATCGAGTGGAAATTATTTTTTAATTTTAAGTCGATTGAAATTTAACAAACGATCGTACTCTGAATAATTAAAAATTTTAGTGGTAATTATAGAAGCATTGAACGTGTTCAGGAATATGATCGATCAAGGATCATCGCCGGAAAGAAAAAGCAACAACAATTTCTTTTTTATAGAATACATTTAGGAGCGATCGTTAGCATAGAAACATGCGGTGTTAGTTTCACGTACACGTTTCTTTCCTCGATCGTAATCTTGAATCCGTTTCTGATACGGAAAGAAGCTTTCTTTTCTCTTGTCGACTTCCGGAATCGTGCTTGTCATCGAATTTTGAGTGAGTGAGTGTGTGGGATGTGTACTGTAAAATCTCTGATGTGATAGACGTGGAGGATGCTGTTAGATATTTTACAAGTTTATTAATTCATTTTTTGATTTTCGAGTTTTTAGATTTCCAAATTCTCAAATTTCTAAATTCTCAAATTCCAAAATTCTCAAATTTCCAATTTCTCGAATTCCCAAATTCTCAAATTCCCAATTTCTCAAATTTCCAATTTCTCAAATTCCCAATTTCTCAAATTCCAAAATTCTCAAATTCCCAATTTCTCAAATTCCCAATTTCTTAAATTCCAAAATTCTCAAATTCCCAATTTCTCAAATTTCCAATTTCTCAAATTTCCAAATTCTCAAATTTCCAATTTCTCAAATTTCCAATTTCTCAAATTTCCAATTTCTCAAATTTCCAATTTCTCAAATTACCAAATTCTCAAATTTCCAATTTTTCAAATTTCCAAATTTCCAAATTCCCAAATTCTCAAATTTCCAATTTCTCAAATTTCCAAATACTCAAATTTCCAATTTCTCAAATTTCCAAATACTCAAATTTCCAATTTCTCAAAATTCCCCAAATTCCCTAGATCCCACAGTTCCCAAATTCACTAAATTCTCAAAATTCCCTAGATCCAAAATTCTCAAAATTCCCTAAATTCTCTACATCCCAAATTCCCCAAATTCCCTTAATTTCCCAAGTTCCCTAAATTCCCAAATTTCTCAATTTCCCTACTTCTAAATTTTAAATTCTCAAATCCTCTCAATTTTCAAATTTTCATGTCTTTTTCAATCTGTAAAGTAGTATAATTTTTTAACATTTTGTCTTGATTCACTATTGAAAGAAAAGACTTTTACTCGAGCACCTTCAGTTTGTTTCAC